CATCTCTCTAACCGGAGTGATATTCGTAAAGAATGTCCCAAAATTAGTATACAAGCGGAAAATAAGGAATCCCTGGTGTCATTTGAAGTAAATTTTTCCTTAGCGAAAATGCAATCCGCGGCTTCGTTTAAGAGTTATCAACGAAAAACAGTGACCAATGAGAAGTCAGCTCGACTAGCGCAAGCGACCGAGCCAACGAGCGGACGAAGGCCAATTCCGCTCATTGGCTCAGCCACCTCGCGCTAACTGTTCTCGCCTCTGATTGGTCACTGTTTTTCGTTCATAACTCATAAACGAAGCCGCAGATTGCATTTTCGCTAAGGAAAAAGTTACTTCAAATGACCTCGGGAACCCCTCATTTCTTTCTTGTACAATAATTTTGGGACACCCTGTATGATACGCGTATAATTTAAAGCCATATTAATAATACAATCACTGGATATTTCATTATATTATTATATTATTAATATTATTAATATTATATATATTATATTATTATATTATTAATATTATTAATATTATATATATTATATATATTATATTATTATATTATTAATATTATATATATTATATTATTATATTATATTATATCATTATATTATATGTATATTTCATATTATATATATATATATATATATCATATCTTTTTTCATTCATCGGTGAACAGTGAAAGCGTTACGACGCATACAACGTAGGCCCTTATTTGATGATTATTATTATTTAATTCATTATATTCAATTGATGTCAACAGAGATACGAATTTTGTCCAGATTTTTCTGTTTCCTGTACATCGACGGTACGGATAACGAAAAATTCTGAAAAATACGGGTGCTCGATCACAAGCCGTGATCTCCGGCTTATTTGTATAAACATTGCTCTCTTATGCAGCGAGCGTGTTCGAGCTTTCCCCGGCGACCGTTGTATCGGCGACGCTATGGAAAGCCAATTGTCGCGATGTCGAGGGGAGCGTAGAAACAGGAGAGGAACGTGACACTGATACCGCCAGAGAAAGCTGCCGGAAAGGTGTTAGTTACGCGATCTGGGGGTCCTTTTTCTATCTCGGCCACCGAAGCGGAAGGAAATTAGTTCAGCCCGTTTTGGCGACGTTTGGTCCGTGCTTTATGCGCGCGAGATACGAACGAGAATAATAAATCAAGAGAATAATGGGAATTGTGTGAAACGCTTTCTGAAATTATGCTCTTAAACGGACTTACGAGTTCGTGACAAGAATTGTTGGCACTATACCACTGTGGATTTTTGTGCAAGAGAAAAATCGTGCCGAGATGATTGCGAGAAACGAAACGTCAGATGAAAATATTTTTCGAATCAGAATATGAATGTAATTATTCGGCTGTTCGGTTTCGGACAATTCATTTAAACGTTCTCGTGTTTCATTAACGGTCATAGTGAAACTAACGTGTCCAGAAGTGTATTATTAAAAAATATGTCGAAAAAATTGATAACATAAATTATAAATAGTTCTGAGCTCGCTCGGTTATATTTTTGTCGT